ATGAACCTATTATGTTTTCATGAATATATGTGAGTTCTTGATCCTATCTTGCAAATCAATAGTCACCTACTATGTGTTATGATCCGGTAACCCCGAAGTGACAATAAACGGGACCACTCCCTGTGATGACCGTAGTTTGAGGAGTTCGTGTATTCACTGAGTGTTAATGCTTTGGTCTGGTACTCTATTAAAAGGAGGCCTTAATATCACTTAGGTTCCAATAGGACCCCGCTGCCACGGGAGGGTAGGACAAAAGATGTCATGCAAGTTCTTTTCCATAAGCACGTATGACTATATTCGGAATACATGCCTACATTACATTGATGAATTGGAGCTAGTTCTGTGTCACCCTATGTTATAACTGTTGCATGAAGAATCGCATCTGACATAATTATCCATCATTGATCCATTGCCTACGAGCTTTTCACATATTGATCTTTGCTTAGTTATTTTTTTGTTGCCACTGTTACAATTACTACAAAGCTGCTACTGTTACTTTTGCCACCGTTACCGTTACTTCCATACTACTTTGCTACTAAATACTTTGCTGTAGATATTAAGTTATCCAGGTGTGGTTGAATTGACAACTCAGCTGCTAATACTTGAGAATATTCTTTGTCTCCCCTTGTGTCGAATCAATAAATTTGGGTTGAATACTCTACCCTCGAAAACTGTTGCGATCCCCTATACTTGTGGGTTATCATGATGCATAGCAACGAGAGGGGAGAGTGTTGTCCACGTACCCTTGTAGACCGAAAGCGGAAGCGTTGTGACAACGCGGTTGATGTAGTCGTACGTCTTCACGATCCGACCGATCCTAGTATCGAAAGTACGACACCTCCACGATCTGCACACGTTCAGCTCAGTGATGTCCCAAGAACTCTTGATCCAGCTGAGTGTCGAGGGAGAGCTTCGTCAACACGACGGCGTGATGACGGTGATGATGAAGCTACCGGTGCAGGGCTTCGCCTAAGCACTGCAACGATATGACCGAGGTGGATTATGGTGGAGGGGGGCACCACACACGGCTAAGACAATGATCAACTTGTGTGTCTATGGGGTGCCCCCCTCCCCCTATATAAAGGAGTGGAGGAGGGGGAGGGCCAACCCTCTCATGGCGCACCCTGGGAGGAGTCCTACTCCCACCGGGAGTAGGATTCCCCCTTTCCCTAGTTGGAGTAGGAGAGAAGGAAGGAGGAGAGAGGGAGAAGGAAAGGGGGGTGCCCCCCTTCCCTAGTCCAATTCGGACCCAAGGGGGAGGGGGCTCGCGGCCTGCCCTGGCCGCCCCTCTCTCTCTCCACTAAAGCCCATTAGGGCCCATATACTCCGCGGGAGGTTCCGGTAACCCCTCGGTACTCCGGTAATTGCCCAAACTTACCCGGAACCATTCCGGAGTCCAAACATAGTCGTCCAATATATCGATCTTTATGTCTCGACCATTTCAAGACTCCTCGTCATGTCCGTGATCATATCTGGGACTCCGAACTACCTTCGGTACATCAAAACATATAAACTCATAATATCGATCATCACAGAACTTTAAGCGTGCGGACCCTACGGGTTCGAGAACTATGTAGACATGACCGAGACACGTCTCCGGTCAATAATCAATAGCGGAACCTAGATGTTCATATTGGCTCTCACATATTATACGAAGATCTTTATCGGTCAAACCGCATAACAACATACGTTGTTCCCTTTGTCATCGGTATGTTACTTGCCTGAGATTCGATCGTCGGTATCTCAATACCTAGTTCAATCTCGTTACTGGCAAGTCTCTTTACTCATTCTGTAATGCATCATCCCGCAACTAATTTATTAGTTACATTGCTTGCAAGGCTTATAGTGATGTGCATTACCGAGAGGGCCCAGAGATACCTCTCCGACAATCGGAGTGAGAAATCCTAATCTCGATCTATGCCAACTCAACAAACACCATCGGAGACACCTGTAGAGCATCTTTATAATCACCCAGTTACATTGTGACGTTTGGTAGCACACAAAGTGTTCCTCCGGTATTTGGGAGTTGCATAATCTCATAGTCATAGGAACATGTATAAGTCATGAAGAAAGCAATAGCAATATACTAAACGATCAAGTGCTAAGCTAATGGAATGGGTCAAGTCAATCACATCATTCTCTAATGATGTGATCCCGTTAATCAAATGACAACTCATGTCTATGGCCAGGAAACTTAACTATCTTTGATTCAACGAGCTAGTCAAGTAGAGGCATACTAGTGACACTCTATTTGTCTATGTATTCACACATGTACTAAGTTTCCGGTTAATACAATTCTAGCATTAATAATAAACATTTATCATGATATAAGGAAATATAAATAACAACTTTATTATTGCCTCTAGGGCATATTTCCTTCACCTATAATATCTAAAGCTACTTGACCCACGCGCGGGATCCGACGACCCCCCTCACAACCGACGACCTCTAGGTCGTCGGTGGAAGGGAGCCGCCGGTAGATTGGCCTCTCCTGGCGACGGCTAGAGTTCCAGTTTTTGGCACATGAGTGATTTTTTCTAACTTAACTTTTTTTTAGAAATGGAGGAGGACCCCCGGCCTCTGCATCTGGACGATGCATGTAGTCACTTTATTAAAAATTCACATAAGACCTTACAAAGTCATACAACAGTAAGCCTAAAGCCACTGTCTAGGCAACATCTGTCGCTACTCCTATCCAGTTGATGTAGGGATGCTGATAGTCTGGGCCTAATACCAAACAGACCTCGTAGCCAAACCTACCATCTAAGACCTGAGGTCCCAACCAGGACGCCTGTCGGGTATGGGGCACCCATCAGTCCGGTGCACTTCTCAACCAGGACGCCTGCCGGGTATGAGGCCGCCGCAGCCACCTGCCACCAATCCATCTTCAGAGCTGTACTGTTGCATCTACCGTGCCAGGTCTCTCTGCCATCGACGCCACCATGATGCCAGAAAGTGTCGTCCTCCTATGCGAGTCCATCCTCGTACATCGGGCACCGAGTCTCCACTACGCCACACTGCCGAGATCCGCCGTCATCAATGTGTAGGATGAAGCACCGCTCCACCAAGAAAGCCGCCCACTGGTCCCTCGATCCCGTGCACGCCTCCAAGAATGACGCCCCCAAGGAGGAAACGACACCAACCCGCCGCCGTCATCCGATCTACTGATCTATGGTTTCCCTCGGAGGTAGCAGATAGTCGTCTTGAACTTCTCCTTGGCGATGCCTTCAAGAAGGAAACACCACATACCAACACCGTCACTGCCGGCCTTGGCCAGGTTTTCACCCGGTTCTGAACAGAGGACCTCCATCAAGCAACTTGTACACGAACCGCCACCATCGCTGCCGGGGACTAGACGGAGAATCTAGGCCGCCGCCGCCTGACCGGCCACGACACCACCATGGTGCCTAGGCCGGCGTCGTCAGGCCCACCATGCCCGCCTATAGACGCTCACCAGATCCGCCGGCCCGCCGAAGCCCATCTCGGTACGGCGAGATTTGCGATCTGGGCCTCCGCCATAGGGGCTCCTCTGCCGCGGTATCGCGCCTGCGCTGACACCGCTGTCACACTCGCCGCCGGACCACCGCGCCGGGAACCAGCCGCACCACGCCGCCGGTATCTTGTAGTTCTGTGCGCCACCGCCGCCAGGGGAGGACGCAACCACCACGTGAGGGGGAAAGCCCTGCCGCCGCCATCACCGGCCAGGCTACGGGTGTGGCTTCCGGTGGCGACATGGGAGAGAGGACGTGGGAGAAGGCCTTTGGGCCGGCGGCGGATCTCGCCCCCCATGTCACCTAGGTTAGGCGACGCGGGGGCAGGGGAGGAGACGCTCTAACTTACCTAGTATAGCACTACTTTTTTTGCATGGTAATACATGTCTCATTCATATCATAACGAACAAAGTACAAGTCACGTAAAGACCGACATGACAAAACTGGAAAGATAGTAGAACATCTCTGAGCTTGACATAAACGCCTGTCACCTGCCTCCGGCACCACCAAAGCAACCACCAAAGAAAAAAATGACGACTCACCTCCTCACTAGAGCTCGACGCGGCTCCATCGCTGATATGCAGTTTTGCGGACCTCCAAGGTGGCTCACCAAACATGAAGCCCTTGCCATTGAACGAATCAGACCGGGGCAACACCCCGGACACACCATCGAACTCCAGATATGGCACCCGAGCACGACTAAAACGCCGAAGGAGGAAACCATACCTGCCATCCACGAACCACGAGCCCAACACATGCTCCGTCTTCCAGATATCGTCGATGTAGACCATAATCTGCATCCGCTCCTTGACTACCTCCCAAGCTCCGTGTCGACGCTGGAGCAAACGCCGTCGCAACGGCGGAGCATGAGGACACAGGTCCACCACAAGGATGTCGCCGCCGCCACGCCATCCTTACTTGAACAGACTGGTTTCCAAATCCATCCCCAACCATAGGACCGATGGCCTCGTCAGGAAAACGCTGTTATCCCCAATCACAAGAATCTTTATTCAACGCTGTCATCGTTGCCGCCAAAGTAAAAACAATAAACAACCTAAAAACTTAGACTACGAGAGAGTAAAAAAACAATCCACATGCGTGGATCCGGCGACCCCCCTCATCACCGACGACCGAGGTCACTGGCAGAGGGGAGCCGCCGGAAAACGGCGTTGGAAAATCGGCCTCCCTAACGGCGGCTAGGATTCCAGCCGCACGGAGGAGAGGAAAACAACGAGACCCTTGCCAATCGCTCACCCCCCTCAACGGTTTGTAGCATCGCACACATTTATCGTCGCGCAAAGGGCGAGCTCTCGTGATGGCCACGTCGATTTACAGTGCCGCGGGAATGAAGAGAAAAAAAAGAGATACTATGGTCGAGCGCACGAATTGCGGGATTGACTAGCGACTCTTTCGCCCCTCAGGCCCTCACACCCAGCGTCTTCCTCCTAGGGTTAGGAAAAACGTGGCCGCCGCCGCCCTCCCCCACTTCGCTCGAGGTCGCCCCTCTCCATGTCCCCTCCTGAGCTCCACCTCCTCCAGCCCCCGCCTGGGCTCTGCTCCTTCTTCCTTGTTGGCGCTCAACCGGACGAGGCTGAACTGCCACAAACTGCGGCAGAGGGACACGTCGATGAGGATGGCAAGTCGAGGTAAGCCGCCGCGGATTTGCTCACCGCTAGCTCCGGGTCTTTTCTTCTACTTAGTGCTCTCTTATCTCCTCTTCCCTAACCTCATCTATGCTAGCTGGAGGGGATCGGGAGGCGTGAGGCGTGGATACGGGTGGAGCGCTGAAGAAGGGTTGTGTGGGGCAACCGGCCCGTCTTATTTTGTGGAGTGGCCATTATCATCGCCAAGCTACTCAACTCGTCGAACCCGATGTCGCCATGTTCGGGAAGAAGGATTGTCAGCAGTGGCGTCTCCTCTGCCGAATGATAACTAACAGATTTGGTAATACTAATTATCAGCACTCTCTTCTCATGTTTTGAGGGTATCTTAGCTTTGAGAATGAACTAAATGTTTATTTGGGGAGAGATTTTGCTCCATTTTTGTAATCATTTTGAATTGATGGTCTGATGGATATCATGTCTGTGTCTATTTTGATGCTTCAGGCCTTCAGTTACATTTTTTGTCTTTGCCATCCAAGAAGAAAGTTACATACTGTCCCCACCTCCTCCTTATATTATTATTATAGCTGACGCAGACAGTTGATTCCTTGCATCAATGGGAAGGATACATTAGGTACCGTGTAGACTCTATGTTCAAGGATTTCAGTAAGGAAAGCTACCATGATCTGGAAGGATGGAACAATGTTGATATGTGTGTATGATTCCAAATGGCCTTTGCATGTTTTCAGAAATTGGGATCATAAATTTTCATCACCTTCTAATCACCCTCCCCCCTCTCTCTCTATGTGGCCTCGTCTCCTACCCCTTTCTCTTCTCAATCCGGATCCATGGATCCTGTGGGGCTCGGGCTCAAAGTGGTCGTCGTGCCCTCGCGCCCGGTGGGGCGTCAATGCTGCCAAGAGCTGCCTGCTCAGCCCGCGCCTGAACCTCAGGACGCATGGCTGCACCCCTCCACGACCAAAGGCTGCGGCGGGGACGGCCAATCGCAGCCAAAGCTTGGGGGCAAGATAATCTCCTGTACGGCCTGGCCACCGCTGGCATGTCGGTGCCCTCAACAAGTTCTTGCACGGGGATGTGAAGTCTGGTCCGAGGCCGCTCGGTCAGATGGCGCTCACTCTAGTGCCAAGCAGACTTCTTGAGCTCCTGCTTCACTTGCAAGAAGCTGTAAGGAAACTGCATTTACATCTATCACTACGCCCAGTCTTTCAGAGTTTCAGTTTGAAGATACTCCGATGATTACACCTGAATGAAAACAGTTTATCCAACCAATAATTGCGGCGTTGTTCGCCTGGGAACATCCCATATACATTTGAGGAAGAAACCTTGTGAAAACTTGAAAAATTCATCCAATTGTTTCTTTGTACAGCAACTGAACATATTGCTTCGGTGTAATCATTCATCCAATTGCATTATTTGACACAACAACTGTTTCTTTCTATGCATCTTCAGACAGAAAGGCATACTGATTTAATTGTTGTGTGCCATTGCATCGGTGAGAAGGCAGTCTGCAGTGCCGAGTGCCGGGACCAAGAGATCATGATCGAAGAGGAAGCGAAGAACAAGATCGTCATCAGATGCTCGTCCTGCTCAACCCTGCATGGGTGGATGGAACGGACAATAGCGGAGGACATGGACATTGCTCGTCCTGAAGAACGTCGAGGTATTGATATGACCAAATTTTTTGAATAAATATTTAGTTTGATAATTCTGCTGACCAGTTCAATTGATCTGATGTGGTTGCCTTACTATGGGCAGTGCCAATGCGAACTACCAGAGTCATATGAGGCTTACCGAAAGTGGCAACATCGGTGGCATTCCGGTCCAATGCAGATGTTCAAGCTTTGCATATCCAACATCATCAAGCCCAAGGCATTGCTATGCTCTTTTTGTTGTAATATCTAAACAGAATGTACTACAAAATAGATAATCTGACGAAGATGTGGCACGTGAGATGTTCTCCAATAATGTTAACTTGTCAAAAACTCTAAAATGGTACTGCTTTTTGAACCGAGTGTCAAACCCAGTTGAGTCAAGTCTCCCTTGCAGTACGGTATTTTGTGGCGCTTGCTTAGGTTACACTTTAACACCGCCTATGTCTTCTAGGCATAGCCGGTCCCAAGCCCGGGTAAAGGAGGAGGGTTGTGATAGGCTTGGCGAGCCAACGTAAAAACTAGCCAGTCCCATAGGTATGAAACCGATTTGAGCGAGAGTAGTACTAGGATGGGTGACCTCCTGGGAAGTCCTTGTGAAAGAGTTTCATATCTAAGGGTTGTGATAGGCTTGGCGAGCCAACGTAAAAACTAGCCAGTCTTTTGGGTATGAAACCCATTTGGGCGAGAGTAGTACTAGGATGGGTGACCTCCTGGGAAGTCCTCGTGAAAGGGTTTCATATCTAGCCTACCCCAACTTGTTTGGGATCAAAGGCTTCGTAAGTAAGTAGCTTAGGTTACACTTTGAAAATCATTTGCCTTCTGTATGCATCATGTGTGATCTCTTTTTGTTCCAGTAGGGACCATTCAGTGGGATTTCTATTGAATAAGCTTTGAACCTGAATTGATATTTTATGGTTAACAGAGTTAAGTCGCAGGAAATATGTGCTTTTGGTAATTGAGGTAGATATATGTGTGTTTCTTTTTTGCTGTAATGTGGTTGTTATTTTAATTTAGAAATTTAACAGATGTTGTTTGCATGACAAGATGTGTACTGTACCTACTTACTAATAGCAGAATCTTAATCCTTCGCAAGCAGTCGATGGAGACTTGGCATTCCCGGATTTACTTTGCGAACAATATCATTTAGGAACTGACTGCCATTTGCTGAATTGTTGAAAAGTGGATATGATGGAAGAAGGTACCGGAAATGTTCTTGTTGTTGTAAGCTATTTGCATGAAGCGCTAAAATGCAAAAGAAATTTCTTGGAGCAGACATAGAGGTAAATTAAATTAATCTTTACTTCTCAGCTTAAATTCTTTTATTGTTTCCCTTGATTAGCTGCAGTTTGGATGTGTTTCAGCAACAGTCTTATTTGGGAATACATGTGAAACATTTTGTGATCTTTCATGCTTCTGTCCTCTCCTCAGGTCATATGAATATGCACTGTTGTAGTGTTCACACTCGTCTGAAGCTGGTTCCTTTCATTTTCCAGGATTTGACGCTGCTGCTTCTTACCTCTGTAGAGATCCTGGTATGGTGCCTCGTAACAATGATACTGTAAATGGAACCGATGCAAAGGTCAAGTACTATGACACCTGCCTGCAGCATCCGCCGCCTCGTTCTTCTCACTGTTCTATCTGTAACAACTGTGTGGAGCGTTTTGATCATCACTGTCCTTGGGTTGGTCAATGCATAGGACTGGTAACTATATTAATGCCTAATAGTCTAATATATTTCATTGTCATCCGAATCTGCATGGTGAATCTCTATTGCAACTATTAATCAATGTTTGGTGCTAACTACCAACTTTTCTCGTGCAGCGTAATTATCGTTTATTATATATGTTTGTATTCTTGACCACATTACTCTGCCTCTATGTGTCTGGGTTCTGTTGGGTGTACATAATTAAGATCAAAGATGCAGAGGATTCATCGATTTAGAGGGCAATGTTGAAGACACCTGCCTGAGTGATTCGGATCATCTACTGTTTTATTTGTGTGTGGTTTTTTGGCAGTCTTTTTGTCTTTCATCTCTACCTGAAGAGCACCAATCAGGTCGCTTCCCTTCCCACCTTTCCTCTGTTTTAAAACTCTTGGTATTTAAATCATTTTTTCGCAACTTCGTAATTATTCAATCCTTCATCTTTGCAAACAACCTACAAGAACTTTAGGTATCGGTGCGACCTACGGTCTAACCCATATACCAAGATTGCTTAGAGCTAACATAGAGGTTAATTAAATTAATCTTTAGTTCTCCTCTGATCCTCGTGGCGGCGGCACGGGTCAGCTGTTCGGGGACAAGGGGCGCCTCGTCCGGCTGGTCTCCCGGAGGCAGGGACGGCTAGATCCGGTGGTGGCTGGGCTAGGAGGAGGTGCAGCGGAGCTGGTGGCGGGGTTTCGGTCGGGGTCGTCTTCGATCTCGATCGGGATCTCCATCGGGGGCGTCGCACAGCGATGGCGTGACCGGATCGGTGGCGGGCACCGCTCGGTTCCAGCCAACCGCGAGATCGGGACGACGTGGCTTCTGATGAAAATCGCGCCTAACCGCGGTCATGGCAGACGATGGCGGCGTCTCGGACGTCGTTCCCTTCTCGAGGCATCGTTGCTGCAGGTCACGTCAACCTGATCGGAAGGTTCCGGGGGAAACCCTAGATCTGGATCTACTGGATCGGACGATGGCGACGTTTCGATGTCGTTATCCCTCCTGGGGGCATCGTATTGGAGCAAGTGTTGGCTGGAGGGGACAAGAGGAGGAGCGGCGTGGTATCTGACACGTCGACAACGGCGGGTCTCAGCGGCATGGAGCAGCGGGGTCTCGCCGGTGGGTGTGTGATGATGGACGAGCGCAGGATGGTGGTGTTGTCTGGCATCGTGGTGGCGTCGACGGCAGCTAGACCGGGCAAGGTACATGCAGCAGTACAACACTAAAGATGGATTGGTGGCAGATGGCTGCGGCGGCCTCATACTCGACAGGCGTCCAGGCTGAAGAGTGCGCCGGACTGGTGGGTGCCCCATACCTGGCAGGCGTCCTGATTGGGACCTCAGGTCTTAGATGTTAGGTTTGGCTGCGAGGTCTGTTTGGTATTAGGCACAGACTATCAACATCCCTTCATCAACTGGATAGGAATAGCGACAGATGTTGTCTAGATGATGGCTTTAGTCTTACTTTTGTATGACTTTGTAAGGTCTTGTGTAAGTAATTAATAAAGTGGCTGCATGCATCGTCCAGATGCAGAGGCCGGGGATCCTCCTCCATGTCTGAAAAAAAATCTCCATTTTTTCGAAAAGGAGGTTGAAACCGCCAGCCTCTTCGTCACTTTACCATCTACAACTCTTTTTTTGCGGGGTGAATCTTATCTCCTACTCTATTGATCCACATCCCTGTACGTCTTCTCCATATTTGTGCTAGTGCAAGTTGATGCTCTTCAAACGAGGATCTGTTTTATGAAGCTGAACTCGAGGTCTCCCTTCAGTGCCTGCAGTTGCATGTGGACATCTGAAGATGTTCTGAGTTCTGAATTCTGGTGATATCCAGCTAAATATTGCCTTTTGTAATCGATTTCTTTTTCATAAAGGAAAAAATATATTGCTGCCAAAGAAAGCTTTTAGTGTCAAAACTAAGAGGAAAAGATGATCGATAATTGTATCATCTAGCAAAGTGCGCCCTTGTTGAACTACTGCCAAGCTTTGGCTCCTGGCCTCTGAAGCAGGGACTTTAACTGGAGCAAGAAAAAATATCGCCTGATATATCAATCTTAGAAGACGATGTATTAAGGTCGACAGAAAGTGTCTTCTACTCCATATTCTGAACGGAAAACACATATTCATAAAAGGTACATGTAATTTGCGTTCCTTTTTCCTAGTGTAGCACACAACATATCAGACGAACCAAGATGATACTACTACTAGTTTAGCCCCGTTAATTGGCAGACCTAAACACCTGCGAAATTCACAGACAGAAGTGCTATTGAAAATCCCCACAAAAAAAGTGCTGCTGAAAAGAAAAAGAAAATGAAAAACAAGATAGAGATCTTATTGATCTGAAATTTGGGGATCAGAAGACAGTGTAGCCATGTATGAATGATAACTCTTGGCGAATCAGATCATGGGGTGATATATTGACATAGATCAAAAGGTATCAAGATATAAAGTGAAATGTTCGATACAAACAATACATACCGCTACATGAAATGAGTGCCAAAGCATGTAACTTAAACAACACAAACGGTACAGAGCACGGTCAACCAAAAACACATACGGCACAGAGGCCTCTGGAAGGCAACGGACACCAACCAATCTTTGAGGAATAAATTTGCTACAGTATAGAAGCACCGACCAAATGTGCCGGGATTTCACAAACTTATTGGAATGATTAAAAGTGCGATGCAGTTGGACTGGATGCACTCCAAGAATGGCACTGCAGAAAGAACCCGACTTGCCGCATCTAAACACGAACCTCTGGAACATGTAGCATCTTCGGATCCATTCCTTCAGTGTCCCATTGAGTTCTGAAATCCTTGTGCAAATACAACAGCCAGAGCTTCTTAAGGGAGCGAAGGGATTCAATGCCTTGAGGGACCTTATCGAGCTTCGACATTGACACAATATACAAACCTTCAATGCAGGGAAGAGCGCCATCAATGATTTTTAGCTCACTGACATCAGGCATGTCCTTCAAGACAAGCGTCTTCAGGTTGGGAAAGGAATCTGCAGAAAGAACCAAAGTTTTTGCACTGCTCATGTTGTTGAGTCTCAGATATGTGAGGTTCAGCATGTGCGGTGCCAGCATCCCCAGTGGATCTTCTCCAAGGTGACACCAGCTTAGAGATAGATACTTGAGGTATTTCGCATGGCTGAGAAAGATCGGGCAATTTAATGTCCCCATGGCCCATTGTCCTCTGATAATCAACCTGTGCAGATATGTAGAACTTGGTTTGAGAGCCTCGAAACAGAGTGCCTCATTCTCATCCCTTGCAGAAAGAAGCAAGGTCGAAAGAAGCGGCATAGTTGACAGCGTAGAAAACAGATTTGCACAATGAGCAGCACTAATGTTATCAATCCACACACTTCTTAGTTGCATCAGTTTCTTGAGTTGCTCAGCCAAGTCAAAGCTGGACTCCATAGTCTCCAGAGTTTGCAGTTCTTCCAAGTTGGACAGCTCTTTAGGCGCTTGCACTCCAATAAAGTACCGGAACTCCATCTGCTTCTCATCAGCATATCTATCGGCTAAAAGGTGCCGCAGCTTCTTTATCTTAACAATTCCCCGTGGTAGCTTCCGTATTCTGGTTTGCTTGATATCTAGAGTGTGGAGGTTAGACAGATTCTCGATAGAGTCGGGAAGTGACCTGACCATGGTGCGTTGTAACCCGATGTAACGTAGATTGAACAGAGACCCTATTGATGTTGGCACTTCAGTGACTTCGGAGCCTTGCAGCTCAAGAACAGTAAGGTAGTTAGATTCAGACCAAAATGAAGATAACATGTTCCAAGGGATAATACTGTTCGAAGATGTGGAAGTTCAACTTTCAGTGCAGTCTCGTCAATCCATCCAAGTAATGACAGACGACGGGTATCCTCATCTGGCTGTTCCAATGTAATTGTGCTGTAACCACCCACTGAAGCAAATCTCTCTTCTTTAGCGACAGAAATAGCTAGTTTACGCACAAAATCTTGCATCCTACAGGTGCTGACCCTACCGAGCTCATCATTCTCCACAACTTCAAGCATATTGCGGTGGATCAGTTCGATGAGATTTCCCTCAGCTATCACCTCTGGTGTGTTCTTTTCTTTACTTAGCACAAAGCCTTCAGCAACCCACATCCGTACGAGGCTCTCTCGTGACATGGGGTAGCCTTCAGGGACTAGACTGCAGTACACCAAGCAGTTTCTGAGGTCTCCTGATAGGTCATGGTAGCTCAAATTTACAATGTCCATGACATGATCATTGGTTGATACCTCGCAAAGCTGATTGTATTTTTGCGTCCAAGTGTCTAACCGTTGTCTTAAAGACAACATGCCGCCAATGTTAACAATTGCTAGCGGGACGCCATGACACCTGTCAACAATAGAAGTAGCAATCTGCTCAAGATCCTTAGGGCACATGTGGCCCTTCTGGTTGTATAAAGCCCTTCTGCAGAAGAGGCGATCTGCATCAAGCTTACTCAATGGCTGGAGCTCAAGGTGACGGGTGGGAGAAGAAATTCCGGTGGCATGTTCCTTCCGTGCCGTAATGATGATCCAACTTCCTTGGAGATTCTGCAAAGCATCATGTATTTGGAAGTATACAACTTGATCCGCAACGTCATCCAGTACAATTAAATATTTTATATTTTCAAGTCTCTGTTGTATATCCTTTTTCAAGCCATGGACATCTGTTGTGTCAATGCCTTCTGACAATGGTGTTTCGGCGTATCGAATTTCCTCAATAGCGCATCAACGGTGTAAACCTGTGATACATTGATCCATGCATGTGCAGGGAATTTGAACTTTTCACATTCATAAACATTTGAAACCAGGGCAGATTTTCCTAACCCACCCATGCCTGATACGGTTATCACAGTGTTCTCTGGCTCTTCAGAGTACAACCATCCGGTCAGCAATATCCTATTGTCTTCAGTTCCTATTAGATCTTCATCTTTGATAAAATCTGGGATGCTGTCTTCGCAGGGTTTCAACCACTGATCTTTCATTTGCATAACTCGCTTGATCTCCTTGTTTACCTCAGTCACCTCATCCACGATTTCAGTGAAAACTTTGACATAATGAGTTGCTTTGGTGGCGAATTTCTTCAGGAACCCTCCTTTGAGCTCAGCAACATGGTATGAGCATTTATCCATTACATCCTCCACACGATAAGCCAATTTACGGACCTGCCCAATCTAAGTCTTGACAATTCCATCAGTGAGTTGTATTGTGCCTATTTGTCTTACTACAATGCCCATCTCTGACAGTTGCTTCCCTATTTCCTCAACTTGTCGTGGCAGTTTCTTGATACTGGTAGCCTTTTTAGAGAGATTAGCTATGATAACCATGTTGTCTTCATCGCCTAAAATGGAGTTAATCTTTGCCAAAGAAGGGAGTACCACCTCGGACATTTGTGCTGGAAAACAACGACACAAATCATATTAAGTGGTAGAAGAACAAATTCCATACAACTTAGCTCATGCAGACATATATGAACAGGAATATTCTCTCATAACCACCTTCTATCATACTGTATCAATCTATTTATCAAAGAGATCATTCCAACCATTTGGCACGATTTAAGTGTTAACACTAACTCTAGAAGTTGTTTATAAACAGTTGATAGGAATATGTTTGATGTAACCATGAATGTGTGACCATTTATTGAAAGTTTAGTCGAAGATGACTTCTCCAAAACTTTAACCAAATCAGACAATGTTTCCCAACGCCAGCCGGTCAGCCGCTGAACCACCAACAACACTTTGATCCTTCACAGTGTCACACAAAACCAGCGTAGTACTTTTCAAGAAAATGTTTGGTTTGAACTAGATATGTAGTATGAATACCTGGCTGCCTTTGATCCCAGAATGAATTTGATGACCATGAATATAAGAAATTCTGGTAGCAACAAAAAGAATTAGTAATGTGCAGAAAAAGCAATACAAGATGACTCAAAATGAATGTTGCAATGCGCAGGAATGTGGCAAAAACTAGAGAAAAGTATACTTTTCGTCCCTCAACTTTCGGTGAAGTCTAGATTTGGTCCCTCAACTTCAAAACCGGACAACTTGCACCCCCAACTACCGAAACCGGACAAGGTTCGCCCCTGGACTCGGTTTTGACCGGTTTTTGGTGTTGACTCACCCCGGTTTTGACCGGTGCTCATTCATATTCCTGTAATTTTTTATATCCGTGAACTTTTTGAAATTCACGTACACTTTTCAACTCCGCGTAGTTTTTTCAAGGTCGCGTATTTTAAAAAAATAAACATGCCTTTTTTCAAATCAGCGAACTATTCTGAAATTCGCGTACTTTTTTCAAATCCATGATTTTTTAACATTTACGTACTTTTTCCAAATCCCCGTATTTTCCCAAGTTTGTGTAATTTTATCAAATCCAAGTATTTTTCAAAGCCATGAATTGTTTCTGAAATTCGCATACTTATTTCAAATCCACATGCTTTCCAAAGTCTGCATTTTTTTTCAAATCCGTGTTGCTTTTATAATCCATGAACTTTGTATGAAATTCACGTACTTGTTTCAAGTTGAAATAATTTTTGAAATCCACATATTTTTGCGCAAAAGAAGTCCATATCCGCGTACTTTTTTCAAGTTTGCATAAAAATTTCAAATTCATGAACTCTTTCAGAAAAAATGTACTCAAATATGAAAGGTGCATCAATTTTAAAAAATTAGATGAACTTAAAAAATAAATGAACTTTAAAAAATATGCATATTTGAAAAAGTACATGAACTTGGAAAAAATTACACCGATTTAAAAAAAGTACACACATTTTAAAAAGGTTCATGTATTTAAAAAAAGTAACCGAATTTGAAAACAGTACGTGGACTTGGAAAAGGTAGGCAAATTTGAGTCGGAACGGTCAAAACCAGGGTGGGACAGCACCAAAACCGGTCAAAACCGTGACCAGGGATGAATCTTGTCCGGTTTGAGAAGTTAAGGGTGCAAGTTGTCCGCTTTTGGAGTTGAGAGACCAAATCTAGACTCCGCCAAGAATTGAGGGATGAAAAATATACTTTTCTCCAAAAACTATTGTACTACTACATCTACGGTGTTGGAGAAAACGTCATACAGAAAGATCTTTATTTTCTTGAAAATAAATACTACCCTCTGTTACACAAATAAAGTGAAGCTACATTCACGCACTCTTTAGAATATAATCTAGACCACCAGTTTCTATTATAGTATATGTATAACCAAGAAAGTTATAATATTATGAAAAATTGACATAAATCTACGATTTTTTTTAAGTTTCCAACCTGATTATTTTCAGCTAATTATATTGGTATTAAATTGTAAATTGGTTATATTATGAATAGCAGTCATGATCAATTTAACAACACTATTTTCTTTTGACCAATCTTTTTCTTTTGCCTGAGAAGATATTTATTGGAAATATCTTACCATGTGTTAGCAAAGGGTGGAGGAACATAAATACCTATGCATATCTTAAATTTATAAATAGTTACAAGTAGGATCACACGAAAATTTACCTCAGAGCTTGTCTCTCTTTGCGCCTTAGACGTATCATGATGCAGTTCACTCGGAGCATTTTGTGCCTGTTCAAACAACCAATTATGGATACTTCAGCTCATCTTACAAAATGCATTGGAGACATACACCAGTTCTCAAGATTAAGTTTGTAGACGGTGTCATGGATGGCACGAGAGTGAACTTACCTGTGGTGATGTACTCATGCCAATTTCAGTATAAACCCCCATACTATCGGTTTCATTCAGTCCATTGATTATATGCTGTAGATCTCCTCATCGGGTTGCAGCCAGAGCATTCTATTCCTATCTCAGCACATACTTGTACCTGTTCTGATGTAATCATGCCAGTTTTGGTATAACCCCCCGTACTTTCTGTTTCAGCGAGTCTATTGATTATATGTTGTGTAGTAGGTCTCTTCATCGGGTTGGAGTTGGTGCATTCAATTCCTATCTCGGCACATATTCACACTTGTTCCAACTGTATGCTGCTCTGTGATTTCTCCAACCTGTCACTCCATTTTTGAACTACCTACAAATTGAAATTGTGAGTTATCTAAAGAAGCACACTCTTTTTAGATATGAAATTCAAGTATGTAGTACTGTAGGCCCATACACAAAGTTAACAAGCTTTCACAAAATCGCATCAATTAAGACTTCAAAATAACAACAAAATTCATCAAGAACTTAGGGTCAGTTTGGATGGAGTCCTGGGCTCCATGCCAGGCAAACATTGGTGTCGCTTGAAAATGCAATAATTTCTGCCTGGCCAGGCACGGTGGGGATGCGGTGTGCTTGCTGTCCTGGACTGAGAAAATATGTACTATGCTTTTGGTTGCAATGGCAAAGGCATTGTGGATCATGTGATCAAAATAAGAAAGGACAAGATCAGAAAGAGGAAAGCAACTGTCTGGTGCCTAGGCATCTGGGCGTGCTGCCACGTACTGTACCAGAGAGAAAACCAGGGTACCTACCAAACAGACTCCAGGTGCACTTCAGGCAGACGTTCAAGCCATGCAATCCAAACTGACCCTTAGTTTGTGCGCGCCCCTAATTTCTTCTCACATATCAGAATAAACTAGGTCCAAATTCAATAAACAAAGAAAGATATTTTTTGCGGGCATAAATAAAGAAATATGCATCGAAATAATGGTTCAACACTACAAGTAGATGGATGATGACAATGTTCAACCACTTCCCACAAAAAAGAAATAGCTGGACCTTCTTTTCGTTATCACACACATGGCATGTAAATTTGCATTTTTGGGTTTATCAAAAGGAATATTTATGCATGGAAGATACCTTTCTGGAAATTACTCATCCGACAAGTAGTTTGATGCCTCTTGTTTCCATTTTCAATATCTTTAATACTACGGACATAGAGTATGTGATCCGGATGAACAGTAAAATCCAAAAAAAAGTGCTTTTGGAATCACTTTGGAACATCAATTTTGTTTTTTTTGGCCCACACCTCCACAAATGTAAGTTCATCATGAAAATTTGCATGCATGTAGACAAAACATAAATGTTTCTTGCCAAAAAAAGCATTTTTTTAAATTACTATTTTTTGGATTTTACTATTCATCCAGGATCACTAGAGCTCGGGATCACATGAGTACTTTCATAATACTACTAGCTAGTGGTGTCTGTTAGATGCTCATTTTTTTTTCATTTCTCAATGTCGGTGTTATCGTGATGGTCGGGAAGTCGGGAAGAAATGTTGTTTTATCCTTGAGCGCCTAGTTTTCGCTAGCTAGCCGTTGTTTGATGTGTTGAATGAATGTATTTAGCAACGAGAAAAGAAAGGGCTGAATCATCAATAGAAAATTTATTTGTTACTAATAACATGTTAAACCATGCTCTTAAAAATACACCATTTGCACTAAGTTGTACATATAAAATCATGATTTCAATCTGCCTGTTAATGTGTGTGATTTTGAAGTGCTAAATATTGGTGCAGCATGGTAAGGCTTACATATTTACTTCAACGTGTCTTTCTCTTCCAAATATAGGGCGAAGTTCAGTAGAGTTCTGGGTGTCCACCACCCACCAGAGGTACAAATCCTTTTTTTTTCGATAAAGGATGGATTTTATTAGCTCATAATGAAGCATCAAGAGGATACAAACACAATAAGCACACACCCGGCCTCTGCATAATTAGAATGCACACAACCAACACCAACACACACAACACGCCAGCAAATAGCAAAGTCACACGCGACCAAAGCTATGCGTAGGCGATGAAAAATAAAAAACCCAAGCGATCATATCCATGATCAGCAAATTACGACAATGACCATATCCGCACCAACTATCTCATGACACCACACGGACAACGAATTTCTTCAACAGCAACGCCTTCAGGAAGGGAGCGACGCTCATGCACCATCGTCACCGGATCCAACAACAAATGCTAGAATCTAGATTTTCATCCTGAAGAATCAGTCCGAGCATAACCGAACAATGCCTTCAACAAGGTAACAACGTAAGAAAAATATCGCCATTGCCAGGTATAACAATTGGCCAGACCTAGGCTTTCACCCCGGAGCTCGAGATCGGGTGCACAAGTAGCACCACCATCGAAGTCACTCATGTGTTGTCGCCACCACTTCTCCACGATCCCAACAACTACATGCGATGTGATTGATGTCGTTGCATAACCATTCCTTTGCATCAAGTCGCTGCCTATAGTTTGCATTTCACCGTCGAAGTCAACAATTAGCCTGGAAAATAGACGTTTTGATGACCGTCGACATCGTGGAGCCGTAGGAGTCGCTGCAGCACACAACCAATTGGATATGGATCACCGCAACCAAGCTATCCAGATCTGAATCAAGGTAGTCACATCGGATCGATCACGAAGGACGCCGAAGCTGCGGCTGCCTAACAACAGACCTGGCCGCCGCGCCATCCGCATGGACGAGGATTCCTGGACTCCCGCGTGGCCGCGGCAGCAGTGAGGGCAATGATGACCTGGGCAGACCGAGCTTCCCCGCACCAGCCATTAGCCGGATTACCATTAGCCGTCGGTCATGCCCGTCCGAGGGCCCCACCCGCACAGCACAAATCAGGGGCCAGCACATCCAGATCCTTGGGCGGGACCGCGGGAGGACGACGCCCAGGCCACACGGCCCAACGACGCCGCGCGCCGGCGACGGGCTACGATCCAAGCCACAGCACAGAGCCCACAGCGGCGAGCGCCTCCGCCTCCGCCAAACAGCTCCATTTGATGCCGTTGTCCTTTGCGCTCGCAGAGAAGGTAGGCTGGAGCCACCACACACCCTCCACCTTCGGTGAAAGGGCAGCGCCGCCGCCGCCGCCACCTGCGGCCGGCAACGACGGCAGCGAGTACAGATCTTGGAAGGATGTGCTGCTGGCTAGGTTCGTGGGGGCCTCCGGAGTCGCCCGAACGTGCGACCTGGGAGGCAGTTTTCCTTCTATCCCACCAGAGGTACAAATCCTACTTTTCAAGTTTTCATACATTTATAATTCCGTAGGCTCTCTTAAGTCTTTCGGTCAAATATATGGTCCATAATGTATATTTTACAAAAAATAAATGAGTGATATTATGTCGCGTCTAAAAATAGAAAAACTACAATGTAGAAAGTAATGCATTAGTTTTGAAGTCGAGCTCTTTTCTGAAAGAGGACCCAAACTGTTCTTACATCATCAACATCGTGGTACCCCTTCTTTCCGGTGAGTATCTCTATAATTATCACACCAAGACTGTACAGATCAAACCGGTACGTGATTACACCATTAACGAATTCTGGTGCCAAATATCCACTGCATAAATAAATATCCATATGATTGATTAAAATGAGCAAGGGAATACAATGCTTGTATAATTCATTGGAAAATGAAGCTTGACTCTCAGAAGTCTTAGCAAACTTACAATGTTCCACACATATTCGCAGTAATAGCCCGGCTTTGCTTTTCATCAAAGCGTCTTGATAAACCAAAATCAGCAATTTTTGGTAGCATATTATGATCCAACAAAATGTTTGGAGGTTTAAGATCCAGGTGAAGAATTCGATTTTCATGGAGGTAGTGTAATCCCTTGCAAATCCCATTGATTATCCTGTAACGTTTTCTCCAGTCAAGTCCACAAGATACATCTATGTGGAGGAGAAGAGAAAGGTGGTTCAATATCATTTCACATTCATTCAAACCTTAAATATTTTGAATGGCCGGTAGTAGAAATAATATGTAAATTAAATTTTATTCGCCATATGATCCTACCAGTGATATACTTATCGAGAGTTCCGTGGGGTAGATATTCAAAGCAGAGTAATCTTTGTTGTACATCTGCCATCACAAATTTTCCATCGTAGCTTTCAGCTTTCCCTTGTGAGTCAGCACAATATCCAATAAATCGTATCACATTTTGGTGACTTGCCTTTATCAGACATTCAACCTCTCGGTGGAATTCTTTCTCAAACATAAATGGTATGGATATCCTCTTCACCGCAACGGCCGCCCCATTCTCAAGCATTCCCTACATTTGCAATAATTTGCATGCTATCAACTAAAGTCTCGAGATCAACTGTGGTTAAAACTATGACATTCGAGAGTTGACGTACCTTATAGACCACTGCAAATCCACCTCTGCCAATTTCCCGCTCCTCAGAAAATCCATTAGTGATATCTTCCAGGAGTGATAATGGCAGGGCCTTCGGTTCTGCCTTTTCATCACGTAGCATGCACTCCAGGTCGCTTCGTGTAGGAGTTGAATGACGATCCATTTGGAATTATATGCCACAATATCCTGGAAAGTGAAAATAAGAGCAAGCTTATTAAATCACTGATTTAAATAAAATGGCCGTATGCATCATTCTAATGCAGAGGCCGGGGGATGTCCTCCTTTTCCAAAATAAAAATAAAAAAATAAATCACTACTAGTGTGCATATGAAATGTATAATCAACATAAAAAACATTTTAAGTGGCCAGAAAATTGTTGAAAGGTAGAACCCCCCCTCCCTCGCGTCGCCCTCTTGAGGATGACTCGGGGG